CTGGGCAGCGCGTCCCGCGGCGTCCCGGGGCTTCGCCTGAAGGAGCGCGGCTCCGGGCGGCCTGTGCTGCGGGGCCGGTTCCGCGCGGTCCCTCCCCCCGCACGGTCCCTCCCCCGCAACTCCTCACCAGGTGGAGGCCTCGCCAGGCCTCCGGGCCCAGCTCAGGTGTCTGTCTTTAAGGCGTCGGTTCGGAACTCTTCAGGGAGGGCCTGTGAGGGTTGTGAACGCGGTGGGAGCACCGGGACGCAGCAGCTGTTTGGTTTGTTAATAGCAGCTTGTTGCTTTTTTCTTGTGCCATGCAGGTAGTTCCTTGTTGCAGAGATTCTTCAGGCAAGCTGGCTAAGGCAGTGTTTCCTGAGGCAAGGCACTGTGTATGTGCACACAGTGTGTGCCTGGCAGGCAGAGAATCAGTCAGAGCCTTAGATGACCGATGTGAGCTGTGAAGCCTCTTTGAGGAGACATTCTTGCAGCTTTCTACTGGGGTGTTCCTTCTGGGGGGAGTGTCTTTATGGGTATTCCTTCTCTATAGCAAGTTAAAGTTATTGCCTGTCTTGTCAAGCATAGCTGTTTTACACTGTCAGTCATCACAGTGGTGTCTGCAGAATGTGTTTCTGTGATGGGGCAGAACATGCACATCACTGTTTTTCAAAGAAAGTAGCCAAGAATCCTCAGTGAGGCTTTCACTGACTGTTAAGCTAGAGTGGGGAAATTTTATGTTTCCATTGTCTGCTGAGCTGCCTTAGAGAGACTGAGGTGCAACTCTTTGCTTCTTATAATTCCTTACCTTAACCAACAAAGTCTTAAGAGATATGTTAATTTGAGGAACTGATTGTGACATCCTTGTATTCTTCTTTGACCCAAACATGATAAGGTTAGCAAAAGAATGCAAAGTTATGGACCTGAAGATGGGGAAAAAATAACAGGGTTCAGAAGTCAGTAGGTCAAAACCTTGGACAGGAGTGGCATGGTAGTTTAAACCAGATCCTGTGCCTAATTCTTATGTTACTTTCTGTCTGCTGGGAGTAGTGGCAAAGATTGGTGACATGCATCTCAGAAGCTTAAGTGCTGCTTCTGGAAAGCATTGAAGAGTATTATAAACCTCAGTTTTTCTGTAAAGTAAATGCCATCCTCTGTGAAACATTGCTTCTGCATTAATTAGTGGTTAGGGTCCCTGACTGTCCTAGCTGGCACTACTTGAGCTGAAGGTCAATCCCAAGTGTGCCTTGGCACTTGAAGCAGTCTGTGGCTTTATTGTCTTCTGGCCTTTTGTGTCTTCTTTTATTCTTAAGACACTGGTCCCAGCTGCATTTGTAAAGCTTCCTGCAGCACTGATGGGCTTGTCAAACTGTAGCCATGGCAAGTCCAAAGCATGACAGAAAACTATTTATTGAGACTCTTCACTGGGGACAAGGGATAGAGCAGCAGGTGATAGTGTTTTTACATAATAGTCAGCATGTTCTAGGTGTGTAGAGGTGTTCAGGGTCCTTTGGCAGCACATCTGATCTCTTACTGCTTTTCAGGGACAATATCCTCAGCAGGTTGTTTTTGCTGGCTAGTTGCTGGTTCCTCTAGGCAAACAGTTGGTGTGCAGTTAGCTTTTAAGTAGCCAGTTGCAAGATTGGAGATAACCAGAACACATGATGCTGAGGTTAGTGCTGGTCATTAGCACTATGTTATTTTTCTGGCATGTTTTCTCTGAGCATTGGTGAGGGAGAATTACTCCTTATGGGAGCCAGTGAGTGTTGCTGATGTGCTTAGATGGCTTCCAGGGGGCATGGAAAAAGGTATAATTAGAAAACAAACTATTTTCACTACATTGTGTCTGCCTGCAAGTGCCGTATGTATTTAAGAAGCTTCTAGTTCATTGGACTGCAGAAGGACCTTGATTGTTTAAGAACCTTATGTTCAATTTCAAAGATCTTTGTTGTTTTAAATTTCTAGACCTAGTTAGAACACATTTAAAGCTTTTACCTGTTTTTGCACCAAACTAGTGCCCTCCTCTGTATTACTGTCCTGTAACTCAATAAATTTGGGTGGCCTCTATAGCCATGTGGAGGAAGGAGTAGCTTTGAGGAACAGCATCTGACTTGTTTAGACAATGACTGCCGAGTTGGCTCCTGGTGCCTGACAGTTCCCCAGACAAATGAAGGCAGTTTCCAAGCCTACTCTTTTTTTTGCAGAACATTTTTAAGAGACGGAGACTTGAACAAGTGTGTGTCCATCCCTGTGTGGAAGAGGCTTGTTGCAGGAAGGTTTAACTGCAGGCTTTGCTTCTAACTGCGTGATTTTTTGTCTGTTAATCCCAGCATCATCCTCATTTAGGCTTTGAAGCCTGTGATGACAGGGCATGAAACACTTGGCTTCTGATGCGTGTGGTGCTATTTATGCATATCAAAGAGGGATCTATCAACTGAAGTGTGACTATTGGAACCCCTGTTGTGGCAGAAAGCTCCATAAATAAACTGCAAGTAGGTGTGTGCTTATGCTAGGCATGCACAAAAAAAGGGAGCTGTCTGCAGAAGTATCAGTTCTTGCTGTGCAGTTGCAAAAGAGCTGAGCTGAAAGGGAGTATTTCTGCATTCTCAGCATCAGTCAGAACCACAGTTGCATCCCAGGTGTTTCTGTGTTAGGCTCTTACAGGATTGAGGCACTGTAGCAGGGTGCTTCCTTGCCTTCCTGCCCTGAAATAGCCTTTGCTGGTGGCTGTTCCATGGATGTCCTTAACAGCATTGGCAGAGAAGCCTGAGGTTTTCTCTGTGTGCTTGGAAGAGGGTTTTATTGTTCAGAAGGTACAGGGAAGTTCCCCTTGCTGCTGCTTGTGCCACAGGTAGGCTTGGTGTAGATGGAAGGTGTGGTTCTGGGATCTTGAACTGCCAGGTTTCATTAAGGTCAGTGTTTTGAGATGTCTGAAATTAAGGAACTAAAGTCTGATGGTACTGGATGAGGAGATCTAGTTCCTCAGTTAGGAAGTGCTGAAGTGAATGGATCCCTGGAAACCTCAAAACCTCTGAAAATCCACTTTGTCTTGGTAGACAATATTTTTAAGTCTACATGAGTTTAGTCCAGCTTTTGCACAAAATCAGAGGCGTGAACAAGAATTTCAGCAGGTGTTACATGGTTGGTGGTTTTGCACTAAGGCCTTGATTTAAAGGAACAAAAACCACAAAACCAAACCAAAAAAGCCAAAACCAGCAACCAAAAGGACCTTGTCATATGCTTTTGAAACCAGCAGCATCACATCTAACCAACCTTGGTCAGGAATGATATCCCTGAAAATGATATGAATATTCCAAATGTAGGTCATAAATATTGCATGAGGTAATTCTTGTGTTAGCGTCCTTTCCACAAGGTATCTTCCCACATTTTACAATAAAGTATGATGATAGCATGAGACAAAACATTGGCTTTAGGGTTGTGGCTGTGCCTGTACGATGATTGAACTTCATTTTTGTTCTGAGATAAAGACTGAGATTAATTTCCAAGCTTTGCATTTTCTCATGCATACAGCCTATCCATATAACAGATAATTTTAGTTTTAAAAATCCATATCTACTTTTCAACTCCACAATAAATCATAATTGACTACTGATGGGCTTTTAAAAAGTGGAAGATCTCAAATATGTGCAAAATATTTCAACATATCAGGTGTGGGAGGGTGTCAGGTCTGTAGCATTAGTGCTGATCAGTGATTCAAATAGTGTAAAATGTTTTTTGCAAACACTTTACTTGCTGCCTGCAAGAAGCAGATTGATGGTTGCAGGTTCTGGGAATAAGAGGTGAGGAGTAACACTCACAAATATTTTCATGCCCAGTAGATGGAAGGTGGAATAGTTTCCTTCCTAGTAAGAGTTCTCATATGCACAGAGATAAAAGTATTTATAAATATCACCCTTGGTTTCAACCCAGTACTGGCTTGGGCAGTGAATGAAGATGCTTGGAAATAGCATGACTTCTGCCAGTAGGAAGGCAATGAAAAAGTGAGTGAGAACTAAAGCAGGAGGACTAGATGAGAAAGAAAAACTTGTTTTCACTTGGGAGATTAGAGTGAGAAGGAGAGCAAAAGGAGCTGGTGAGAGTAAGTGCATTATCCAAATCTACATGGACAGGTTCTTGCATCTTGATAGGCATGCTAATGCTAGGGTCCCCAGAAGTGTATGCTAAAGTGGGGAGGTTTGCATGATACTGTGTCTTTCATGTTCTTGGTTGGTGTTGGTACTGGAGTAAGTAAACTCTGTCATCTTGGACCAGGTGCTTCCATCTTTGTGAATCCAAGCCTGTGTTGTTGGCATTCTGGCAGTGATACACTTGTTGGCTGGCTTTTTGCTGGGTGGATGCCATTCTGCTCCCAGCTGGCTGGTAGACCAGGTATTGGTTTGTCTAGTAGCATGTTTTTTGGCAATGAACAAGATAAACAGTTTGTCTGGGACTCCGGTACAACTAGTTTTGTCCAGGGGTGATCCTGAAGTAGAGTGGCTGCAGTATGTACCAGAAGAGCAGAGTGGCACGAAAATGAGTAATTTTCCCTTGCTATCCCTGTCCTCTCCCCAGGAAATCCAGTTCTGTAACCAGTTTTCCATGGCTTCAGTAGTTTCCATGTGAACAGCACACAGGGCTGGGCTGCAAGAGCAAGAAGGCAGTATGTTGTCAAGACCAAAGCCTGGGGAGTCTGAGGCAGACCTGCTGCACTTTCAGAACCAGTTCCTGGCAGCCAGAGCTTCACCTGCAGTGAAGATTGTGAAGAAAGGAGACAAGAGGAAGGGAGAGGAAGGGAGCACAGATGCTGAGAGACACCCGCTACAGGACAGCAAGGATGTGGTCATGTTGGAGGGTAATTTCCCTTCTGGGAGCCTTTGAATTACTGAGTTTCTCTGTCTCTTTTAGTGTTCATCAGTGCTTGTACTTTAACCTCCCTCTCAACACAGTGCTGCTTCTGCCCTGCATATGTGTTCTGGTAGTGTTTGTTCATAGCCATGTTGGAATATGCTATGTTACTAGCATCCAGTAGAACCACCTTTCCAACAGGTTGCTTTTGTCTGCCTTCATCAGCTGCCTGTGTTACCTTGCCAGCCTCAGTGCAGGAGGTGTTTTCTGTAATTTGTACCCATTGGATATTCTCTGCTCGTTCTACCATCTATCCAAATCATGTTTCAGTGTATTTGAGGTTTAGTTCTGCTAACAGCTCAAGCTTTCAGCCAGCAGATCTGGCTTGATAAGCTTCCTTCCTGCAGTTACGTTTCCCTCCATCAGTAGTAACTGTTACACCTCTGCCACGTGCTTAGTAGTCTCTGAAGCTCAAGGTCCTTTATTAAAAACAGCAATTTAAATCTTAAAGTGCTTGGTTCCAAGTAAGGTAATATGATCCCAGTTTATAGGTAGTGGCATGTGGCTTGCTCATGTTCATATAGATAGCTCACCATTAGAGCTGTCAGTGGGAATCTGCTTTTCTATGCCTGAACACAACCTGCAAGGACAGTATTTGTTTCTGTACATCCTTGCTTCTTTCCTTAATACTTGCATTCAGGCCTCAATACCCTTTCCTGCTTATGTAGCTCTTTGAAAAGACCTTGGTGCCAATATATAAATAATAAAATTCTTCAGCATGTTTCTTTTCACTACCCAGTGCAAATCAGAGATGGAGGATTCTTGATTGTCTTGTTGCTTCCTCATTTTTTTTGTTTCTTATCAAAGCAATAATAGGTGCTGCTAGGGTGCCTTTGGTGTGGTACCTGTTGCACAAGTAGGTGCGATTTGACTGCTTTTTTTTCCTTATTATTTCTGCTTCACAGATTTTCCTGATGTTCTCCCAGCTCTAACTCCAGCTCCTCCAAAGAAGTCCAAGATCAAAAATGCTTGTGTCCACTTCGAGGATGATGATCCAGAGGAAAGACTGGAGAGTCATGATCGACACATTACAGCAGTCTTCAGCAAGATCATTGTATGTCTGGTTTTTATGTGATGGCCTAATTTTTCTTTGAATTCTGTAAACTGAGCAGTTGTCAGTCATGAAGGGTTCTGTTGCTGTTTTTTATTTCTACAGTGTAATTAAGCTGTAGATGAGTGTCCTGGAACACCTTGAAAGAAAAAACTCTTTGGGTATATTTTTGCTGTCAGTTAAATATGGGTTTGAATCTGCTCTCCAGTACAGACTGCCTGCAGGTCCCACTGCTTCCATGCAGGCATGTGCTGCAGTATGGGTATGGATGAGTTTCTGGACTTTCTAAGAGAGATGCTCTCATTGCTCTGCACTGGCCCAAATTTTCCTTCACCTGATTCTTTGAGTTTGGCAGGCCAGCCTTTTGGAAAATAGCCTCCCTTTGGCTCTAAATAAGCACAAAGTACTCTGAGCCTGACAGCGGTGTAGCAGAAAGCTTGTGAGCTGCAGAGCTGAGATATTTTGTGTCCACTCTTAGCTAAATGGTATAAACATGTCTGGCTGTTGCAGTGGTTTCTACACAGTTTTAATTTCTTGCTGCAGGAACGAGACACAAGTGCAGTAGCAGTGACCATGCCAGTGTCCACAGGAGACCCATTTCCAAGGACATTTCATCGTTCTGAGATAAAAAGTGAGGTGAGATTGGGAGCAGCTGTTTTGTGCTACCTTCATCAACTATTAAAACTTCCCCACAAAAAAGCCTAATGCTTGGTGGGTGGTAAGGCTCAAAGTGACTTGACATGCTGTAGATTAGGAGCTGGCTCACCATGTCTTTGGTATTACCACCTTAGCGTAGGAGAGAGTTCTACCAAGCTGCCATCAAGTAGGCAGTCCATACCCTGCAGTTAAATAGCATTTGAATCCTTTTTGGTTTAGAAAAACAGGCAATCCCCTTCAGCCAAGTTCAGTGAGGTGCATGTAATTTGCACCATTGTAATAGGATTGATCCTGTTCTGCTTGTTTTCCTTTGAGGAACAATCTGTTAATTTGTCCACAAGGTTTAATTAAGTCCATGCTTGCTGAAATTGCACCTGGTTCCTCCTGGCGTGACATTGAAGTGTGGTTTTGCAGCTTTTTGGATTTTGACATAACTTTTTCTGAGGCTGTAGAACTGGAATCTGTAGCTGCTATCATCAGTCATTGCTTTAGTAGCAAGAGGTGCTGGCTGAGTGAGAGTCAGATACTGGGAATTGATACGTGATTGATAGCTGTGGTTGCTTTGAATAGGTGGCTTGTTTTGAAAGGAAAGAGTAATACTTTTTAAACTACCAGTTCTGTTTGCCTGATGCAGGAA